AGCGGTTAGATATTGTCGGACAATTACGGAAAAGCGCCCTGAGGTATATGCAGACCTCGCACGCTACCGGAACCATACAACTGCTTCCGCTCCTGAGTAGTGGACTCATGAGCGCCAGGCTGATTCATTGCAGGGCAATGATTGGGGCAGCGTCATGATGAGTCTATTGATCACACACGCTAGCTGTGAGCGGTTAGGTATCGCCGGGCAATTACGGGATAGCGCTCAGAGGTACATGCAGACCTAGCGCACTATCGGAACTATACAACTGCTTCCGCTCCTGAGTAATGGGCTAAGGACTGTCACAGGCTCATACCTGGTTATCATTAGGCTGCTGCCTAACAAATAAGGCTTGAACTCTTCCAACCATATTAAACATCATACATGTCATGAACCCCTCCACGACTCATTAGACCCAAGTACAGGCCTTGGCCCAGTTCATGCAAATCTATTCTTAAATGACAAATTTAGATTGCAGACAGGACGACTCGAACACCAGTCGTGAGTCATCTAAGCCACATGCATCATAATTATTTTAATAACTAAAATTACTAACATTAAAATGAAGCTGAATTAAAATAGACGGAGATGCTGGTGTTTGTCGGAGGACAGGTCATGATCTATTTTGAGAATGGTATGAAATGAGGGAACGAGATCATAGTCTTGTAAATAAATAGGAGGCTTTCAGTCATGTCTCTGCTCGTTACTTTAAGATTTTCATTTGTATCTAGCTCTGAGTTCAGTTTGAATAAAACGCCACTTTAAGACCGTCACAAGGACTGCGGAGCTGAGACATTGTATGGGAACAATTGGAGCGACGCTGTGTTGTGTATACAAACCACAGGCGCGAACCATGGACTAGATTGCTGTCGTTCCTGAACAGCTAGGTTCAGGATTGCTCAGCTGGGATATTACACGTAAGTGATTGAGGCATTGCAGCGACGCGTACTCGGACCGCGTGCGCCAGCCACTGGAACAGCGGATGCCTCCCATGAGAGATGGACTCATGAGCTGCAGAGTTTTACCCAGGCACGCTGTTGGCAGTAAGTCAGGAGAGAGAGCGTAGAAAATGACAAGGGTCATATTAGAGTATATAAGTAGTCTATGTTCTGTCTCATGAACAGCATCGGAAAAGTATCGGACACCTGCCAGCAATCAAGTTACCAAGTATCAAACCATCTGAACAAACATCATGACACATTCCAACGTAACTATGTTCCCAATTAACTCATAACCTTAACACTGAGTTCTCAGCCTTGATTGTCTGCTCGTCAACTCGACTTCTTGACTTCGTGCCTTTCAACTATTCTGTAGTTCTACAACCTTTGACTACCCGGCACCTCGCCAAGCGAATCAATCTAAGTATCCTTCGTTAGCAACTGTAATCCTAACAGTTGTTAATACCTTACCTTTGACAGACGGCGATCTCCAGTATCCTTAGCGCACGCCGTAACAACACTTCTTGTCGACTTTCTCTGGCCTCAGCTCGTCGCCAATTACACGCCCACGCCGATATTTACACCCGACGGAGGAAGCATGATGGATATATTCTCGAAAGGCGTGAAATATCGAGTTTTGGCAAGGAGTTTTTACAAATTGAGCTCTGTGCTTGCCAAGGCTTCGGTTGCGAGAGGGCAGGCGACACTATAAACACCGCCATGGCTGCATGGTGCGGTGGTACATCGTCTCGGCCAGTCTGCCAAGTAAAGTCTGGATAGCTTGGACACAAATCCCCCTCGAGACAGTAGATCGCTGGATCGAATTCGGCGAAACACAACCACATTTCTCGCGGCGCGGTTTTACATGGATGACGATGGCATGCTTGGATGACCAAAGATTTTGAATTTCCCTTTCATGAGTTCTTACAGAGGAGGTTCGACTGTTTGTGTAGGCGAACATACTTCATTATGGTATTTGCAAATGAAATTGTAACGGCTGCTCAGCCTAAGACTTCCTGTAGCCTACGCTGGCTGGCGCAGGCAATGACATCAAGGGAATCTTTGGGGATCTTCGGGAAGGATCTCGGGATACACGGAGCTTAGAAGATTTTTAATGAACCTTCTGGAAGTATACTGAAGGTTCATGAAGATGACAGACATCTCGAGAATCTTCTAGGGAATCTTCGAGGATTCCATTTTATTCTAGTCATAGTGGGAACCTTATAGGAGGGGAGTATCTCAGAGTGTATATATATTTGTAGTCTAGCTACAGGAGTTCTCTCTCCAGAGGATTATAATTAATATAATGTACTTACAAGATTTCCCAAGCATTTTGTACTGAAACCGTGACAGAAATACAGAGTATGGGTGTCTCTAACATAAAAAGAGTCATCCAATATGTATACATAGCAGCGGTCATGTGTCATAGCTATATAGCTGCATACACATTAAATGATTTAAAAGTTTTCACTCTTGTTCATAATTGTCCACATGTAGCTGTCTATGATGTCACTACACCAACCACATCTGGTGTAGTTCTCTGTATCATCTAAACCAGCTTGTCTGATTGACTGAGACATTTCACATCACAAAAAGTAGTCTATCAAACGCACACTCCCTCATTGGAGTGGTGTTAGGATGAATCTGTCGACTACATACACTTGTATAAGGCGCATGTTCAGTAGGCGTCGGAGAGCAGGGCGTGCCAGGCACTGAGCAAAGACGGCTCGCAGGAGCGCCGAGGCCTTTCTAGAGAAGCGGTAAAGGGGAACGCGGGGTGTTACGACACGCTAATTATGGCAAGCAAGAAGTCAGGGTTTAAAAGGTAATAAAGCTAAAAAGCAGGGCTGCCTACAAGTCATTAATATAATGAGATTGAAAGTAAGCGAATAGGAATAAAGATGTCATCAGTGTTTCCATAACGCCAGACTGCCGTCAATATCCTAAACCAACTCCATACCTGCTTACCACATCCCGAGACACTTAACACGGGGATCGTTCTAGATAGAGTATTCAAGGGTGTTGGCAGGTCACAGTGGCTTGCAGCAGCGAGAGCGAGAGGTTTCGTTTGTTTTGTTCATTAACTTGCTAGGCACATTACACCCATCGTACTCCTACTGGAGCTCATTAACCAGTGGGGCCGGGCCGGATCAAGTTAACTACCATGAAGTACAGATAACCTCGTCCCACCTAAATGGCTGGGCCACCTCAGACTTCGCCTCTGGGTTGAATCATACCAAGCCTAAGCGTCAAGAAACCCGCTGTATACACGTTGTAGCGCAAATTCCTCCTCAGCCTCGGCCACCACGTACCCGAGCTCTTGTGTTGTGGTTATGAGCTGTGAGGTGTATGGCAATTATGACTCTGCTGTCCGTCGGTGGAGTAGCACGGGCTCATGTGCAATGGTGAGTCCCGGGGATGGCGCGCTCACGCTGGGTGATGGCACAATGACCAAATGGGTGTCAGTAGGTATCAAATGGGAACTCTTACTGACAGTGGTGATCGATGAAGGTGATGCCAGATGCGCATGCCGACGATTGATAATATCATCTAATGGATGATGTGAAGTATGATGTTATTTGGATAGATTGATGTACTAATACGGCAGGTGAAGAGATTGTGGAGAACATGAACAGCGTCTGTGCACCAGCCTTTCCTAATACAGCAGCGCATCCTCCATTCCCCCGTCTCCTAACAACTCAAGCGAGCCAGCACTACACCTTGACATCCTCATTGACTCCGAAATGTAAATATATCTATCCATTTATCTTCTATTTGAGTTTGCAAAAATGTGGGATAGACTATTTAAATACAACTTTTCTTTTTCATTTTAATTGAGGGCTTTCTTCGTTTGATGGTGGGATCCCGATTACTGGCTCACTCGGATATGTATATGTCGTTCCGGATCTCATTGTTTCTCTAATCTTGCCCCTTCATGTCGTACCGTTGGCGTGTTTTCGGCATTGGGGATCTGCGTGATACCATCGATGTATATTCCCATTTTTTCCAGATTTTTACACGTCCCACTTCCATCATAATTTTCCTCAGTAGCGCGTGTGTAGGCAGGTGATGTAGTGAGTATGGAGGTGGGTCGCAGGTGCAGGATCGACTGAGAAATGCTTCGCCGCAAATACACGAGGAGTTTCGGGGACGTAGGATGTTTGAGGGGAGGTGTTTTGTGTAGATGAGTTTTTGTACGAATTTCTGTCGACTCGCTTTTCGGCCGAAATACCGAGTACAACTCTTTCAAGCCGAAGACCATCAAATATAATTCATTCCATCTTTGTTCATGGCTGAATCTCGGCTCCGGGAGAATCTCACTCCCAGCTTCGTAGTGGACACCACTGAGAGGTGTTCAGCCTTCGTCCTCCAATAGGTATGAAATGTTGAGTGGGCTAGGGATATTAGAGAAAGGGGAATGACGACTATCGGATCTTGATGGAATGATGAGTAGCTTGGCGGTATTATGTCTACATCTCATGGTGGTAGATAGGACCTACTTATACATATTTGGCACCCACTACACAGTATACCACCGTCTATGCAGGAAGTGCTACAATCTCAATTCCATGCTATACTATCCCATATCTTTATGCCATTGTGCAGAGCTGCGCCGCAATAGACGATCGTCATGATGGCCATACAGGGCTATGCAGCTCTCGCATAGATGTCCCGCATCCCGGACACTTGGCAGAGATATATTTAGATTAACTGCGATAATCGCATCACAACAATAATCTCTTGGGTGCGAAGCTCGAAGAGGAATCAAGTTGTGTCTAACATGCTATTAATACCCGGAAATTCTCTCTACCTGCCACAGGACAGGTACCCAGGCCTCCTCACACCCGCCTGGGCTCTATTACGATGGCTATTGATGCAAGTCTGTGAATCATGGTCACAGGAAATATTAACAGAGTATGTCTTTATCACTTTGCAAAGTTGTGGTTTAGGTTAAGGATATAAAGAGGTTTAAATTTCAGCTCTAGTTTGCATTGTATCTATCTTGCCGTTGACCAGGCAGCACTCTTTTTGATTAAATGCGAGTAGTTTGACCTTTTTCCACTACCTAGTATATGCGCATTCATCGTCAAATCTGCCACTGGTGTAAAAAACCCTTTTTGTTTGCCTAACACTGTCACTGGCAACAAAATAATTAACAGCTCCCCCTAAACATTGGTCAGTTTCAATACATGAATTTGGGTGGAGCTCCTACCGCTCCATTCATCACCCCCTGCAAGTAGAGGAAACTTGCGGAATGAGTCGCTACGGATATTAAGCTGCAGGTTTTCGTATCTCATTGGATAGCCGCCAACTGATCCTTCACTAACACCAAAACACTTATCGGCAATAGTGTTCACATATTCTTCAGTAAAGGTTTGCCTATTATAACACGTGTAAGATCCAGCAGCTGCTAATTGAGAAATTGCAATGAGAGCATTGACTATAGCGAGTTTTGAATACATCTTCTTGGACTGAGATTTGAAGATTTAATGCTGATTTTCAAGTAATGTAGCTTTGATTTAGAAGTGTGTGAGGCGACCCTTGAGCTTGAAATGAATTGGAGTGACGATGTGCTTGAAATGTAGAGGATACTCATGTTCTTAAGTAGCAACATATTTGAGTGGGTAGGTCGGTTTGATTAGAGGGGCAGACTTCAGGACTGTGGTCCCAGTCTCAAAGTAAACCAAAGGAATATGACATAGGAGGATTACGACACTTTGGACAGCCAAAACCATGGAGTGCAGTTTAAAAACAGAAGATATACAGGATCGGAATCCCCGAAGATTTTGGGGTCAGAAAAGCTGCAGCAGTCGGTGGAGAAATCTCCGTGTAGAATTAGAATCAGATGGAGTGATTCTAGTACGAATAGCAAGAAATGGTAGAAATCGGTGTCTCGAATTAATAACTCACTTGTCATCTGTTTCATCTCAGTTCCCGATAAGACTAATCTTCTCTCCACCCGTCTTCGATGGACTAATCACATCCACTACTCCACGTGATGCCTCATGGCTAGAATACTGCGTCATTCACACTCGGCCGACGTGTGGAGCCGTGACGGTTTGCGTGCTGGAACAAGAATAGCACTTGCTTGCACCCTCAAATAGTACTATAGACACTAAACACAATCGCCATCCGATACTACAGTACTTTGTTCGGCGTAGGTCCTTGGCTCTAGTCTCTAGTTTTGCAATATCTATTACTAGCTTACAAGCTAATTTTGTCTCTGTCTGGTTTCCGAAGATGGCCATGTTGGTGTGCACTAGCTGCGAACCTCATTTTTACCGATTAACACAGCTTGCTCTTCTGATGCCCAATCAATATCCTCGGCAAAGACAGCCCGGAAATTAATGTTTGATAGCTGAGAAACTGTAGTTTCCCAATCGTCATTTCTTCGTTTCGTCGTAATAGGCAATCTGCCTGCTGGGATAGGTCATGCTGTCAACTGTACCTATGCTATAGTTAAGGCTTCTGGATCTGGAACCCGACTTGACCGGGCTGAGCGCTTTACTGCCCTCGCTACAAAGATCCAGACAAGAGTCATTGATGACACAGACTCTCTTGCTCAAGGACCTGCCGTTTGAGCCATTAGACCCGTCACCTCACATCTACCATCTTCCATCTCTAGCATCCTCCAGCTTTTCAATTCTCAATGTTTCAAATCCATCAGGATTTGATGGAGCAAAGTTACAGTCAGGCCAGTTTGCCATGCAGCAGTGACGAGAATGGAGACAAAATGTTCGAGAATGACAAACTCCCCATTTATTCCGGGTCTTTAATACCATCTCTTCAGCAGTACTGGGATTGCAAAGTTAAAAAAGCTGTTCCTCAGGCTGCCCAGGCGTGCATGCGCAGGTACATGGCGTGAGCTCGTAGGTGCTGCGACACTTGGCTACATGGAAGTTCAGGCTCATTTTCGAATCATTTCATGTCTATTAGGCTATCTAGCCATCACACCGAATCAGTGCTATGTGTCCATGTTGACTGGCTCGTTTGGCCCTGGAGACACTCATCCGCTGGAATTCAATCGCAAGTACGCCCATGAGGTATATTTGCTCACACAGAACACTCGACTCTCTTTCCAATGTACCCACCGTAGGGACATGTCAAAGGCGTTCGTCATACAAGCATACGTACACTGCGATAATTGTGGTCGAGATCTAGTGGATTCGAAGCAGCATTCGCCTCTCTCGCGTGAAATATGACATCAAGCCATCCAGACTCCTCATGGGAGCCCTTTCACCAATAAACGTAATGAAAGCTAGGATGGTAGCTTATGGGGAGTCTCATGCCAACGCACAGCGTGCTGTTAGATTGAGATAATAAACAAGTAGGACAGGCTTAGGTAGACAAGTTCATATCAAGGGAATGGCGCAGTAAAACTGTTCGAGACGGAGTTGATGAGTTATTCTATTATTTGATGTATAAATATAAATATATATACCCAGCGTGAAGGCATATTTTTCTTCACGCCACGTCTTCCGTTTACACTGATACCTTTTACAAATTTATTTCTTCTCCAAGACCGCTGTTCTTGCACTAATCTCATTTATTCCTTACTTGACCTTTTCAGAGAATACTATATGTTGCGGTTTGACCGTTATTTGAGCCAAGGTAGATATCTAAGCTTAATTTTGAGTAGCCTCTTAGGAGTTTCAAATATTGGGGCTATCACGTAGGTGTCAGGAAATGCTGCTTAGTCAGCTACTTGGTCAAGCAAAAGGTGTCCATATCTTTAGTATATAACACATCTCTATCACTCCACACTTCTCGTACCACATTTTACATTCTCCACACATTGCATGAATGAAAGTTTATTCGTGACGGGCACAAGCCCTGCACTCAAAGAGTATTGCACGATGAAGGGTAGTCTCTTGCTGACCACTATGTACGAAGATGACTCATGTAGTGGGTGCATTCGCTGATACCCCTCGAGACCTTTCTGCTGAGGACTTTCGCCATTCCCTCAACCGTTAATATCCAGAGGGAAAACAGGAAAAAGCTTAGGCTACTCTAACACGCCTTTGTCACCTTGTACATAGCCGCCGCGCGAGATATGGCCTCACAGTCCTCCCTATCTCGAGTGAGGTAGGTGCCCAGGCTACCCAGACTTTACCTCAGGGAGATGACGACTAGGAGCTGGACTGAAACACTTTCCACCTTTGCCTTTTTTTAGAGAGTCGGTAGCACAATCCAAAATCGTTGCTTCTGCACTCACAGACACCCTTAAGTCGAAAATACTCGAAAAATGTACGTCCCAGCATGCACATTTGTGACCTCTTCACTCGTTCGTCCCACGTTCCTGCTGCCTGTCCTCCCTATCACGGTATCAGTACAGAATTCTTGGGCGATCTTGTAAGTACAGTATATTAATTATGATTCTCTAGAGAGAATTCCTATAACTAGAATACAAATATATACACACTGAGATACTCCTCTTCTATAAGGCTCTCCCTATGACTAGAATAACACGGACTCCTCAACAATGCCCTAGAAGATTCTTGATACACCTATTGTCCTCATGAACCTTTAGTGTGCTTTCAGAAGGTTCTTTGAGAATCTTCTAAGCTCCTTGTATTCCGAGATCCTTCCCGAAGATTCCCTTGCATTCATTGCCTGCGCTAGCCAGCGTAGGCTACAGGAATCCTAAGGCTTAACAGCTGTTACACTCCCTCAAGATGTGAAGCTCCATTAGAGCAGCGGTCCCCCATAGACTAAGACCCGAGCTTTGTAGATTATGATTTAATTTCCTCCACGCTGGTATATATATATATATATATATAATTTATGTTACCTGATTTGGCGCCTTGAGGCCCATGCAGGTTTTTATCGGAAGATATGTACTTTAAGTAGGATGAATCAACTTGACACAAAGAACACTCACACTCAGATTTCATTTGCAGACGCCACTCGAGGTTAACCCTTACGGCGTATATCCTCTTCCGTGCATACCCACCACAGGGAAAAGCGTGAAAAACCTGTGGCTATCCGAGTGTGCTTTCATCATCCCATAAGTACAATATCACCGCGAGAGAGAGTGGTGTGTGGGTCCGGCTGGATTCGAACCAGCTTTCTCCTGTCTCGAGTGGAGTAGGTGTTCAAACTACCCAGTATCTACTTGGGAAAACGGCCCGGATGGTGTACCACTGCACCATCCAACCCTTGGCCGGTATATATAGCACCGTAAATGTGTAGTGGAAGATGGCCGGTTTTTGATGAGGCAAATGCCCGATTGCCATTGGAGTAACGCCATTATTGGTATTTAAGGCGAGGTTGTGTAGTAAGATTGAGGTGAAGGTGCCATGATATGAGACAACGAGGTAGTCGAGGATAGGGCATCGCGTGTGGCTCAAGACCACAGCATACATCACTAGTATACTGGTTGGGCGAGCATGTACATAGTTTCATAGATGTACCCACAATAAATGGATACATGTATAGTCTTATACTTTCTGTCCATATACCTACAGCATAATATTGTATGAGTCTGTGTTATGACACCCAGAATATGGCAAGCAAGAACTCAGAGTTCAAAAGGTAATAAAGCTAAAAAGCAGAGCTATGTCTACAAATTACATATATCCAAGTGTGTAAAATTAAGCAAGTAGAAATGAATAAGTCACCAGTGCTTCCATAACGCCAGACCACCGTGGGTATCCTAATCCAACTCCTTGTCTGTACACCATATCCATAGCCACTTAACAGTCTATTCACTGTCAACCACGAATTATAACATCATCCACTCCTCATCTCTCCACAATGTGACTTCCGCATACCTCATAACCACAACAGAAGGACTCGCGTGAGAATGATAGCTCCGACATTGACAAGTCGTCGATGTTAGATTTGCTTGTGAGAGCTTTCGACTTCGATTTGGATGCAATTCTTGTGTTAGACTTTACGAGTCAATAGAAAAATGTATGAAGTAAAAGTAAAAAGTGTCAATTAATTCCTGGCTGCCATTTCTCTTACTAAGACTATCTAGATTATGTACGTCTAGAAAATGGCAAATGCTCTATGTGTCCCCAACTTGTCCCCATAGACCAAGCTTCTCATGGTTTGGAACAAAACATCTCTAGTCAGAACAGATAGAGTTCTTATTGCTACAGCCCAAGCAAAACACCTTTTTTCGAAACAAGTAACTCCAAGCTTTGTAAACCTAACTCCTTAAACTTTACATCTGACATTAATTGCCTCTAAACTATCCATAGTTTGATATCTTGTTATAATTAAAGCATGGATACCCCTGCATATGTATATTGAGGATTGGTGAGACAAACAGAATTAATGGAATGGAATAGACTGATGTAGTATGGAATGGAACGTGTAAAGGCTAGTAAGCTGATTGATCCCTGTAGCCTGTGTTGGTTAACTTAGGCCTGATTCGAGTGGCGTTATTAATGACTACCAATGTGCTAATGTTTGACGCCACCAAATACAATACTTTTGCGTCGGCATTTGCATG